AAACAACAGGTAACACACAAAGCAAAATACAAAATGAGGTAAATCAGAATATAGACAAAAAAAAACCCGATACAGATAATGATGACAAACCAGTGCGGAGCATACAGGATCAAAACACAGATCATCTTGTGTTGAAAGCTATTGAATAGTAGTGAGTTTTTAAACGGGACTTGAAAACCGAGAGGGAGGGGGCCTGTCTGACAAGCAGAGGTAACTCGTTCCAGAGTCTTGGTCCTGCTACAGAGAAGGCCCTGTCACCTCTGCGCTTAAGACGAGTTCCTGGAACTGTGAGGAGCAACTGGTCCGCTGACCGCAGGGAGCGTGGTGGGACATACGGTTGTAGCAAATCAGAGAGATAGGGAGGGGCGACACTGTTCAGTGATTTGTAGACATACATGAGTATTTTGAACTGGATTCGAAAGTGAACCGGTAACCAGTGCAGTGAGGCCAAAACTGGTGTAATGTGCTCTCTTTTGCCTGTACTGGTTAAAAATCGGGCTGCTGCATTCTGGACCAGTTGTAGTCGTGCAATGGAGGTCTGACTGATACCAAACAGGAGCAAATTGCAGTAATCAAGCCTAGATGTAATGAATGCATGTATTACTGTCTCCAGGTTATTTTTTGACAATATGGGCTTCAGTTTAGACAGCCCCCTCAGTTGGAAGAAGCATGATTTAACAATCATGTTTACATGATTGTTAAGTTTCAGGGAAGGGTCCATTATCACGCCCAGATTAGTGACTCTGTGTTTTTCTGACAGGGTTAGAGCGGAAAGGTCGATGCAGTGGTTTGTGATTGTGTCGTTGGGAGGGAACAACATGACTTCAGACTTCTTTTCATTGAAACTTAAGAAATTTAAAGCCATCCAGTCCCTGATGTCAGCCAGGCAGTTGAGCAGCGGTTGAATAGAGCATGTACCATTGTGTCTTAGGGGGAAGTAAATTTGACAGTCATCGGCATAGAAGTGGAAGGGCATGTTGTGTTTCCAGAAAATAGCACCAAGCGGCAGCAGGTATAAAGAGAATAGGAGGGGACCCAGTATGGACCCCCTGCGGAACCCCCCATTTAAGCTCTGCCTCTGCGGAACTAAAATCCTTGATGGAGACACGAAAGGATCTGTCAGTGAGGTAAGATCTGAACCAATTGAGGGCTGATCCTGTGACACCCACCCACTGCTCCAATCTAGCAATGAGGATCTCATGGTTGATTGTGTCAAAGGCGGCTGTGAGGTCCAACAGGACAAGCAGCACAGAATCACTGGTATCTGTGAATCTGAAGATGTCGTTAAAGACCTTCAGCAGGGCAGTTTCAGTGCTGTGGAGAGGTTTAAAGCCAGATTGGAAAAGCTCTAAGATGGTGTGATCCTCCAGGAAGCACTTCAACTGGGACTCGACTATTTTCTCCAGTACTTTAGAAACAAATGGGAGTTTGGAGACAGGCCGGAAGTTGGAAACGACTGAGGGGTCAAGGTTTTTTTTTTTTCAGGAGAGGCTGGACGGCAGCATGTTTAAAGGATTTTGGCACCACGCCAATGGATAAACTACTGTTTACTATGGCAAGAATGGACGGACCTAGAGTAGGAAAAACCTCCTTTAGTAGTCGAGGGGGGACCACATCAAAGGGGGAGCCAGAAGGTTTCAAGTTCCACATGACCTGCTCTAGAGAAGATAGAGTGATGGTTCAAAATGGTCAAAAGGAGCTACAGATTGAGGTGGGATGGATGGGTCATGAGTTGGAGGGGAAATGAGAGCCCTCGTGGTCGCAATTTTTTCCAAAAAGAAATGTAGGAAGTTGTCCCACAGCTCAGTCGAGGCTTCCAGAGGTGATGGCTCAGTGAGGTGGAGAACAGAGTTTAGGGTGGAGAAGAGGACACGTGGGTTGTGAGAGTTTGAGGTAATTATATCAGAGAAGAATTTTGATTTAGCAGCTTTTACTGTTTTCTGATAACAGCTCCAACTCTCTTCAAGTATCTGTAAAGAGACCTGAAGCCTTTCCTCAACTTTCGTTCCGCCCTCCTACATTGCTGCCTAGCGGCCTTTGTGACGTCACTCAGCCAAGATTTTGCTCTCAGTTTTGATTTTTTGGTTTTAACAGGTGCAACATGATCCAGAGTCTTTAAGCAGACAGAGTTGAACTGGGATGTCAGCTCCTCAGTGGTGGTGAGAAACACTGGGGCCTGAATGATCATTTCAGAGTTATAAACATCTGTGAAACGTGTGGCAGTGAAGTGGTTAATGGTCTGGCTGCGGCGTGCAGGAATGCACGACTTAGGAGTTAGATGGGGGAGGGTGAACTCAAACCGGACTGGCATGTGGTCTGAAAAAACTATCACCAATAATAAGATTATCAACAGTCATATCATGAGTTAAAACAAGGTCCAGTGTACGTCCGCGCTCTTGGGTGGGACCATTTACGTGTTGAGTTAAATTAAATGAGTCCAATAGATCTAAAAACCAAGGGCTTCTCAGGACAGCACACATGCAAATTAAAGTCACCAATAATGAAAACATGCTCATATTTTGGTGTGATTTCAGCCAAGAAGTCAGAAAACTCATTTATGAAATCCTTAGATCGAGGTGGGCGGTAGATGAGTGCAAATAACGTCGGAGGTGAATGTCCGAGTTCAAAGACGCTCAGCTCAAAGCTGGCGCGGGAAACTGGGATGGGCAGTTGTTTACAGTCAAAAGTTGATTTGAATATTGTTAATAATCCACCACCGCGCCGGTCTGATGGCCGCGGGGCGTTAAAACACAGACAGTTCTGTGGCAGTAATTTCGTCAAGGCGCTGAACTCACCCGGAGACATCCAAGTCTCTGTGATGCACAGAAAGTCCAAATCGTGCTCTTGAAAGTAATCCCTGAGGATAAAAGTTTTGTTGGTAACAGATCTTGCGTTGACCAAACACATCCGGATATTGTCCGAGGTGCAGACCGCAGCGATGGAGTTAGCGCGTGCTAATGGCCGCAGGTTTTCAATAACAGCCCCTCTAGGTCGGTCCGAGCTGCGCAACGGCTGACAACTCCCACTGGTTACCTGGTCCGGGCACGCGGGAAGCTGGAGACCATGACCGCCAGTTGAAGAGGAAGATGCAGCGCGCAGAGCTTTCAGCTTCACCAGCTGACCAGGACGTTTTCCTCAGCGTCTGAAGCGAGATCTCCGGGCAGGGAGGTGAGGAGCGCAGCGAAGGTAAGCTGGCACGTCCGCCAGCAGGGGGGGAGGAGGGGGGGTCCAGAGGTACGCTGATAATGGTCAATATAAGCGACTTCAGTGCCAGAAAAACGAAGATTCAAAAGTTGTTGTCTGTCATACACCAGCAGAGAGTTGATGTCACAGATGTGAAATGCAAAAAACAAAAATAATCCGAACACCATCAGCAGAGGTGGATTGCAAGCCATGTACACGGGCGCCATCTTACCGGAAGTAACCCGAATGAATACTTTCTAATAATAATTTCTTAAAGTGAAATAAAAATGCCAAAACACACCATGAAATATAAATCGTCTTCAGTGACTGTTCTACTTTGTTACAAGTTTATCAAGTCTTTGATTTACTGTTCTTTTTTTTTATTTATTTTTTTTTAATAAGGATAAACTCTTTTTAAGTGATTAGTGTATGGATAGTGTTCAGCTTTACTGTATTTTCCCTGCACAGTAGTTTTAAAGCTGGTTTCTGTAAATAATAATAAGCAAGCCAGTATTATATTTTGCAAAAGTAAAAATTGGGAGAAAAAAAAGAAAGGAATGAAATACAGTAGTCCCTCTGTACTTGGCTGTTCGTTTATCGCAGACTCGCTTTATCGCATCCTGCTGCAGCTGATCAGCTGTTCACCGTGGAGAGTAGAGAAGTGGGCGTGGCCAAGAGCGCTTGCAGGTGGCAAAGAGCAGAGGAGGCAGGGAGCTGAAATCATGACATTCTGTGCTCTTTTAGAGCGTTTAGAGTTTAGAAACATTGTTTAGAAACATTGTTTAGAATGTTGCAAGAGTGTGGAAAGGGTTTATATATATAAATAAATAAACTACTACTTACTACTTGTACTACTATTCCTATTTTGCTGTTTTTCACTTATCGCGGGTCTTCAGGGTACGGATCCCCCGCGATGAACGTGGGACTACTGTATATGTGAATTTGGCCTGCGCTAACAAAATCAAACATGCTGTACATTTGTAATTTTATCTTCTCTAGACATCAGTATTTGCTGTAGTTGTTTAAAAAAAAAATCCAAAACAGAAATAATTAATCAGAAATTAACATTTTTTTAAACGGTTGAATTTTTTTTGCTTTGAATGGGGCATTAAACAATAGGTCAGGTGCTCGGTTAACTCTACCTTCTCAACCAAATAAAAACTGAACAGAAAGGAGCAACACTGTTTTGATGGTAAATCTATTTTTAGGTCACACAAACAAAGGCTAGATAAAGAAAAGGCATAAAATGATTTAAAGAGAAGGGAAAGAAAATGGGAATAGGCTAAAAGAGTGTTTCTTCATCAGGGAGTGTTAATAGATCACCCCTCTACACCCAGGAAATTATCTCAGCGTTGTGCCCTCCTTTCTAAGACATGATTAATTGATTGCAGGAGAGCAGAAGGAGAGGACGACAGCAAATAGGGAGGAAAGGAAAATGTGCTGATGTGCTTCGGAAGAGAGGTAAATTGGAAACAGTAGGGATCGGAAAGAGTGATGCTGACCTTTTTGACTATTAATGAAAGAGGAGAATGGTTACATTAAAAAAAAAAAGTCAGGATTCTTTAAAAATGTTAAAAATGTGGTTAGGCTGCATATCAAAGGTCTCATTTCATTTTAAGATCAATGTTGCGATTTTATTTTTAATATTGTGAAAAATTCAAATATAAATTCTATATTGCAATTTATAAAGCAAGAAATCTGCTTTAGAAATTCCAAAAATGCTTTGTAACACCATTTTTTATTTTTTGCAAGAGAATGAAAATAATATTTCAGAGGGAGATCGTATGTGTAAGTATGTGTGTAGCCAGGAGTCTAACCATGCTTGCATCTCTTGCTCGGCTTTAGCCCTTTCTTGCTCCAAGCTTTTCTTCAGCTCATCAGCAATCTTCTTCCTCAGGGCCTCCTCATCCACTGAAAACAAAAAAGCAAAAGAAAAAAGTAATATAGATAAAAACTGTGAAAATAGTCAAAACAACTGATACTAGAGAACAAGACCATTCAGTAGACTTTACATCCTCAAATGTCAGTTTAAAAAAAGGCCTCTATCAAAAGCTTTAAGTTTTTACAAAAAAAATATTGTTCCCCTCAAAAACCATGTGCTTTTTATATCTACAACCACTCTATTCTTTAATAAAGCAGTCTATTCACCAAAGTTTATGCTCAATAATCCAGTTAAAAATCCAACAATTATCAGTCAGGTCATCTGGACGTTTTTTTTTTTTTTTGCTGAGACATTTCATCCGTCATCCAAAGGACTTTTTCAAGGACCTGACTAAACATTGTTGGATTTTTACCTGGATTATCGAGCATGAACTTTGGTGTTTGGAACCACTTCGGCATGGCTGCCTCAGAGGAGTTGACGGGGGAGAGTGTGGGTCCTGGAGGCCATTTTATCACCGACAAACTGTATTTTCCACCACTATGGGAGTGTGCTGTTTGTGGGACTCCATTTGTTTGGTGGCTCCTCAAATTGAAAAGTCCTTTGGATGTAGGACGAAACATTTCAGTAAAATAAGAAACCGTCCAGATGACCTGACTGAACATTGTTGAAGCAGCCTATTGTGTGTGCTTTAAAACAACTTTTAAGTTACAAAACCTAAACTATTTGGAAATGAGAAAGCCTCCTGGAGTCTGAATAGTTAAGCTTGCCATAGAATATTCTGTTTATTATTTACACATGCACATAAAATGACAGATATGCATTCTCCATTCTTAAAATCACAGTTCAATCCCACCCTGTCTCCATATATCATGTCATTGATGACATACGTGTATGACTCCGTGTCCTCACAGGCCTATCTTGGCAGGTAATTAAGCATGAAAGTAAAGATGCCGGCCAACGACCAGCCCAAAAAACGTGCTTTGAAGACAGAAGTGGCATGCGGTGTGCTGCAACGCTGCAGTGATGGGGGGGTGGGGGGGAGTGTCTAAATCCATCAAGATTAGTCTCTCACTGCATTAGTTAGATGGGATAATCCCTATTGTCAGAGTCTATTATTACCTGGTAACAGCAGACCACGGAAATCTCATTATACTTGAATCAGATTAACACTAAGAGAAAAAAAAAACCTAAACAACCAGGAATATGCAAGTAATTTATTTGAATAAACAAAAAATTTCCAAAGCAACACTGGCTCATGCACAAGCACTGAATTTAGACACAGAGTTAGTGTGTATTTTTAAAGCACTTCTTCTGATCGCACATATAGCAAACCTAACGTGCTGAAAGTCAGAGCTATTTTCTGCCTCTTTTTAAACACATAACCAAATATTTTTAAAAATTGTAAGCACTTTCAATATCAAATTATACAAAAATGACGTTAAAACTGATGTAAAAGCATTGATCAAGGTTCAGTAATACCACAAAGTCACAAACAAATACAAATACAAGCACGTGTTGTCATGTATACATGAACCTCGTGGGGTTCTGCAGCTTTGTGGAACAAAACACTGTCAATAATAATATGTCAAGTTACAAAGCGTTCTAATCATTTGACTAATTTCTACAATTTAAAAAGTATTTTTCTTTGTCTAAAAAACAAGTAACCCCTCCAAATAACTATCAAGAGGCAAACACAGAGAAGATGGGATTGGAAACACTAGAACAGACTGACAGATTACTACTTTTTAGTTGTAGAATACGTCCTCAGAGATCTAGTCCGCTGACACCTGCTGTTCAGAGCATGAGAAAATAATATCCATCATGTTTGACTGCAATCACAAACACCATTGATCTCACTGCTGAGGAGTCTAATTACAACTGTGTTTGGAGAAAAGAGACAACCTGTAGGTCTGAAACCCTAAAACAATCTGCAACAGACATCTATGTCACATTAAAGTAATTAAATTAAAACTGGTAAATATGAAACCGTAATAAGATATGACACGAGTGCTCCACTTTTTGTAATATACACTGGAAATGGACATAGGACTTTATAGATTTCTGGTGTTGGTAGATAGGTGAGAACATTAAAACACTAAAGATTAATATTTTTCCTTAAATTAAATAAAAAGTAACTTCTGATTATTTGATGTTGTCAACTAAAATATTTTTTTTTATTACCGTTGCCTTGGTACCTGTGGCTTCAGTGCTGGTATAAAGTTTAAATAACTTAATGACACCAAAGTAAAAACACAATGGTGCTTTTCATAAAGAGCTTTTGAAAATAATATCTACTGAACATAAATTACTCAGACAGAATGTCACCACAGACAGGTAAAATGAGCAACGCTGCTCTCTATGTTACAATACTAAGTAATGGCAGAACAAATCGGTGGAGCCATGCCACAGATTCCCCATCTCATTCATGGAAAAGCTGGCTTTGGGAAGCAAGACTCCTCCCTAAATCTCACACGTGCCGAAAGATTGCCAAGACATAGATAAATGCAAAAAAAAAGGAATGAATGAATGAATATCCATCCATCCATCCATTATCTTTTACCCGCTTATTCCATTTTGGGTCATGGGGTTGCTGGTGCCCATGTCCAGCAATCACTGTGCGAGGGGCGGGGTACACCCTGGATGGGTCGCAAGTCCATCACAGGGCCACATAGAGACAAACGAGACAAACAACCATTCACTCTCTCACTCACACCTAGGGACAATTTAGAGTTACCAATCAGCCTAACATGCATGTTTTTGGTCTGTGGGAGGAAACTGGAGCACCCGGAGAAAACCCACGCATGCACGGAGAGAACATGCGAACTCCACCCAGAAAGGCCCCTGGACCGGGGTTTGAACCAGGGACCTGCTCGCTGAGCGGCAGCGGCTCTACCAGTTGCGCCACCGTGCTGCGACTGCAAAATATATACAACAGAATATTTTAATGCAATCACCTTTTAATACCTTGTCCACTTGACTCCAAAATCAAGTAGCAATTAAATTCTGTGCTTAATTACAGAATTTATTTAAAGAGGTTACAACTGCGATATCAGCTTCAACTGTCCTTCCTACAATAACTTTCAATTATATTTTATAATTATATTTATAATAATCATGATTTTCAATATATACTTTCTTGAAGCATGCTATGAAAAGGAAAATTTTCAAAGTCCTCCAAGTTCAGGCAAGCAGCAGCAACCCTTCATATCCTCTCCAGCTTCACAGAGAGAGACTTCGTATTGCTAGTGAGCCCACGGGGTCAGCCACAGTACAGGTTCGGATATGATAAACACTGTCTGGGGTCCTTCAGGGAGGCTGCTTAGGGTTGGAGACAATCCCAGATTGACAGAGACCTTGTCAGTCCTGAGTAGGACATGTAAATGTTAAAAAGATTAAAAACTCATCATCTTTTTAGACGCATCTCCCTTCTGTTCCTTTCTACCAATCGCTGCACCCTATGGAAAAACCCACAGAGGAGGCGACAAGGCAGTGGTGCACAGGCTATTGGCAGTGGAGATAATAGACAAAGGCAAATTGCATTTCTCATCAGAAGTTTCATTAACCCCAGGACCCGCATGGAGGGCATAATCTGTAACATTACCACTTTCTCACGTTTCTACCTTGCGCTTAGTTGAATCACCGCGCACCTTTCACAAAATAGATAAGAAAAGAAAAGGGAAAAATGTGCCAAGAGCTTGGTTCCAGCTCAGGTAGATAGCACTCCGATCATCCGATTTTATCTTTATTCACAGTCTTTAGCCGATTCAAACTCATGTATGGATATAAAGGTCAAGCTGACAATTTTCACTAAAAACAAGAGATTGATAATTGTCACAAGTTTCCATTTTATGCACCCGCACTTTCATGTTTCTCATTCACATTCTCATGGCTACACCTGGGAGACATTTTTAAACAGACTAGTCCAGAACTGTGTGCGGGCTCTGGCATATGAATATTTATAGCGTATTGGAGAAGGTGTAGGAGGTTCAACCTTGACTATGGCGTAATCAGCACACATACTTAGTCAGGGCATGATTTAGAAACAGCCGACCTGCTGAGCGCCACACTCGATACCCAACTCTCGTGGACACACATAATCAATGTCTGCCTCATTAAGGTCGTACCCTTTGAGAATTGGGCTGAACTTTGCAACATTTTTAACGAGATTCACATTCACATTCATCACACCTTGCTTTCTTATTCCTTAAAAAGAGCATGCTCAGGCATGATCAATTGTACTCGTTGACTTTTGTTCACTTCTATAATACTTTGTGACCTTGGTATCCAACCTACGCTGCGAGGTGACCTCTAAAGCCACGACTGTAAATCGACATGTCTTCTACTCGAGGTTTTCAATGCCTATAGGCATGTGATCAGTCTCAAAACATTCTTATTGACATATTATTATTATTTCAGTCATTCACTCAAATACAAGAACTTCAGACAAAGTTGAGAAATAATTTTCAGGTGTGAAAAGTGGCTTTTGAAATATGAAGATGTATTTCTACCAATCCACAAACAAACACGGAGGTTCTTCGTTTTTATTTATTTATTTGCATTTAATCGGGCTCCTGAACTGGTGCTGTCATTTTAAGGGAACTTACAAAAAAAATCCAAATGACACAATGTAGGTATTTGTATCATATTAAACCCCCATGACCAGGTAAAAATTTAAGATTGTTTACAAATACACCTGTGCACCATTCTGTGGTCTTAAAATGTGTTGTATTGTAGGATATTTATTTTATTACTCCTTTATTTCTATAAGTGACAGTTACATGAAACATGGTACAACTGGCCACCGACAATAAGATTAAAAACAACCATATCATAGATTAGTGACACAAATAAAATACAAACTGTTCTTCTCAATGTTTGCTGCCTAATGCACGCAAGACACCGACTGAACATAGGTCATAGAAACTTAAAGAAACATATAAACCTTTAATGGGGCCTGTAAGTTTGTTGCATTAAACTGCGGAAGTGTCGTTTTAATCACTGAAGCCAGCGTGGTGTGGCATAAATTGCCCTTTTTTAATTACCTTACTAACTGAGCACAGTCAAGGATGGAGGAGCTTGCCCACCTCATGGATGCCACCCTGGAATGAATTTATGCCCAGGGTCTATTCTGTACTTCGTAATCAGCAGGTAACATTCAAACGTCCTTTGCATAGTTGTGAGAAGATTTGGGCATCTATCTAACAAAACAAAAAGGACAAAACTTTGCTTTGAGGTGGAAATTCTTAGGCTGCGAGTTTATCTGATTGTTGAGTGGGCACATAACTGATCATTTTTACTATGATGTAACCTTTGTCCAATACTGATGCTGAATGAACTGCCCATCAGGTTCCTCTGTGCAAACCCTGTAAGCCATGTCTAAGTGCTGTAGAGTTTATTTTTCTCTTAAAACAGCAGTCTATTAAGAGAACCAGAAAACAAGGCCAGCCTGCAGAAAACGCCAAAAAAAGCCCAGAGGATGCTTTCAGTCGCTGTTCATTACGTTACACTTTAAACAACCTCATTCAGAAATAAAAATGAATTAATCATGTCATTAACAGTTAAAGGATGGCAATAAATCATAATGTGATTGTAGCTACTGCAAGGCACATTTTAAAATTAAGACTAATTATAATCTCCATGAAAAGTTGGAGACAAACAGCTTAAGGTGGCCTGCAGTAAACACCCACACAATAAACATAATCAGAATTAAATGCAAAATAAATCCTTGGCAAGTTTAGTCCCTCGTAACCTTCAACTTCTAATTAAAAATGTTGCAAAAGCAGCATTCCATACATGCAGGTAAAAAAAAAAAAAACATTAAAGTGAAAAAAACTCCGTTTATAAATGAGTTTTAACTCTTGGTTTTCTTAAAAAGAACAAGATTAAAGATGATTAAATTTGTCTATAAAATAAATAAAAAAATGCACAAACAATTAAGTAAAGTATAATAAAAATAAAAATTCTGATAAGTAACATCAATTTTGGCTTTGTGGTGGTGGTTTGTGTGAAATAATTTAAAGAAATCCTCCAACGTTCAACTTCAACTCACAAAAAGGTTTTTTTTAAGCTTCTCTGTTCCTAAATTTGAACAAACACTACTTTAACCAGAATATTACAGCATCACAGTCAAAATTATGCTCCTGACAAACATATTTAGAGTTTCTTTTGTTATAAAAACAGATTTTAGGCCACGCAGACTAAAACTCACCTGCTGGTGCTGCAGCAGGTGGTGGAACTGGACTTGACTCAGGCCTTGCCACTGGCTCGGGGACTGGAGCAGGTGATAATGGACCCGCTGTGGGCTGAGGAGGTGAAACTGGTTCACAAGCAGCAGTAAACAGTGGCAGGGGATGTTTAGCTAAAGGCTCAGCAGGCTGCGGGGACAAAGAGTCCCCCAAAGGGAGTACGGATGCTGGCAAGATGGTGGCAGGCTTGAAAACAGGAGGGGAAGACAGGGGTTCTGATTTGGGAACAGGAGGAGAGGTTATCAGTTCAGAAACACATGGAGAAGCAGGAGGTGAAGTGGGTTTGATTAACAGAGGAGGAGAAGAAGAAATGCGTTGACTTATGTGAGAAGGAGGTGGTTCAACCACTGGGGGAGAAGCAAGTGAAGTGATAGGTTCTACCACTGTTGGAGCATGGCAAGAAACAGAAGTAAGTGGTTCAGTGGGAGCATGGGGAGAGGAAGATGTTCCCAAACTTACCATATCAGCAGAAAGAAGAGGAGCAGGTGTTGCTACAGACTTAAAAGCAGGATCAGGGACAGCATTAGCAGAAGCTGAAGATGATAAAGGTGCAAGCACCAAATCATCTTTTTGAGATGCCACTACCTGTTCTGTGGGAGGTCGAGGAGGAGGTGCAACCACAGTCTCTGTGGCAGCTGGAGCAGGAACAACAAGAGGAGGAGGTGACAAGGAGGTGAGTGGATCAAGATACTGAGGTATGGGCTGCAGTAGGGGAGATGGAGTGAGGTTTGGCGACACAGAAGTTGTGGAAGTAGGAACATGTTTCGGTTTTGGAGGAGCAACAGGTTCTTTCATCCGTTTGATGACATTTTCAGAAAGCTGTAAATGACAAAGAAAAGACCTTTTACTTCAAAGCAACCCATTACAAATACCTGCCATGACTTCCCACAAGTACGAAGACCTTAACACTTTGATGACAAAACAAAGCACTTCACTGCTTGAGAGGTATCGCAAACTTAAAAAAAATATAGAAACTGTTTACAAAAAACACCCAAAGCAGCAGAACATTATAACCAACATAGAGTGAAAAATTACTTTGTTTTATTGTAAATATTAATACCAGATACTGGTATGCAAAAGTAACAACAAAAGCACATGATCCCTCTCTGGAACACCTCTTATGAGTGCAGTCCATGTCTGAGAGATCACTTCTTTTTACAAGTGTAAGGTACCTGCTGCAGATCTGAAAGCAATCTGGTTTTTAATATTTGTATATACGATATCTGCTGCTGAGTAGGTGTTCCTGGGCCCATGCAGACATATTAATGAAAAGTTGACAAATCCTGATCATTCTCCCTCTATTCTAAATCTTTCTCTTTTATATTATAGATAAGAAAACTTAAATATTCCTTAAAATGTATCTGAAAAGCTGGCACTCAATCTCCATGCTTGTTTTGAATACAGTCCCAGCTGCCAGTCAACCAGATTAATTGAGAGGTTTTGTTTTATTTCTTTTTACACAATATGCCAATTTTTATTTTGGAAAGTTGAGTTTTTCTCTTGTCCTGGGTACAACTTATCAAAAAATGCAAACTTTCTATGTCAGTTCAAGTGAAACTAAGATTTCTACATCAATAAATTATGAATACTTACTCTATGGGAATGGTAGTGCTTATAGGGAAACAATTTAGCAGATATATGCTACAGTGCTGGGATAAACAGAAAAAAACCCATAGCCGTTTTATTCTGGCTTACTAAGAGAGTAATAATAGACAAAGACATGCTCATTAAAGTCTTACCTGATTGGTTAAAGCCTCTCAAATCTATATTTAACATCAGCTAGGTTTGGGAAAAGGTATCCAAGTTATCTACATTACATACCACATACATTCATACACAATAAATGAATTTATGAATCACAGAGCTGTATAATATAAATATGTGATGACAAAATAAAGCAGTTGTTGCATTAACATTCCGACAATATTAAGTTTACTGTCTCTAAACATGATTATAACTTAACTTTTTCTTTGTATTGCTTTCCTTTCACAAGTTTCCAATATGAGCCAAGTCTCTAAGCGCCATTAGCCTCCAGATAAGCCTTAGGCATTTTTGTTGGCACATTATTATTACTTTTTCATTCATAGATCCTGTTTCAGTAAGTTTGAATCACGTCACTTACCCGTATGCCCTTCACAACTGTAATATTATCGTTCTCGTCGGACTCGAATGACACTCGCCGGGTACTGTTGTTCGCTCCCATGATTGTCGAACCGAAGAAGTTTTTACAAGAACCCGTTATATAGGTCACTTGTAATGTGAAATATAGACATCCACTTTGATTTTGTTATGTTCACTTTAAAGCCAGGTAAAACTGAGGCCCAAACTCCAGTTTTATAAGGTCTGTGCTAGCGGAGCTTCCTTAGCATGACAAGAGTGAAGAAAGTGCGAGCTGATTGGACAGAAAAGTTGTTGCTCTGTGTAACAGCGATGTTCATTGGTTGTTCCTGTGGGTGGGCGGGGTAGAAATGCGACAGCTCACACTTCAACAGACTTTTCAATGTTATGCTTCACGCCCCATAATGCTAGGTGAAATGAATATCACTAAAGAAACATGTTCCAACAAACTTATAAGAACATGTCTGCAGTAGATTACTTTACTTCCTACTAGATCTTTTTTGGTCCTCTACATTTGGTGAAAATTAATGGAAACGAGTTTGGTTAAATGGGGGAAAAAATTGCATAACGAATCAAGTTAAAGAGGTTTCATATAAAATCATTCATAATGTATACCCTGTTAAAAAAAACACTGGAAATATTTAAACTTGATATTGATTATTCTTGTACATTTTGTGAACTACACATGGAAACAGTCTCTCATTTATTCTTTCATTCAACCAACCAAACTCGTTTCCAATTAATTTCTCCAAATGTAAAGGACCAAAAAAAATCTACCAGGAAGTAAAGTAATCTTTCATTCAACATTTATTCTATTAATGTAATCACACAAAGGCATTCTGGACAGATGCACAACAACACATATGAAAGAAAACTGGAAAAATAATTCAGCTTACAGAGAAAGACGTTATATTATGCTTCGACGATGGATAAAGACTTGATCTACTTCACCCAACTTCTACTTCTCCTGGGAAAATTTCACATTCACAAGAAAACGTGGTCAAACTCCAAGCTAACCCACTTCAGCAAGGAACTGTACATATACAGCACCACTATTAAAGGACTTGAAAACAAAAAGGCAATGAAAACCATCTCAGTTCTAGAAAAACTTAATGTGAATTTATCTATATAACCTGTAGATAGATTGTTTTGTATCTTTTTAGACATTTTTACCTTTTGTACCATTTTACAATTATATTGTTCTTTTTATACTTGTATACTATTACTTTTGTACCTGTAAACATACCCCTGGCTGACACATGTTTGTAATGTTGATAAAAACTTTAAAAAAAAAAAGTTATGTTTCACGTCGTTAACTGCAACTGTGACCTACTTGGGTTAGTTTAAACTTTTCAGCTATGGTATTTTTCAGGTAATGTTTCTTCATCATAAACTCGAAAAAATTGCAAAAACACAGTTTAAATTCTAATTCATATTATATAATATTTTATTTATATTTTATTTTATTCTGTGGAACATTAACAGTGCTGTATGTCAAAAATTGAGAGCTAGTAACTTACCAGTTTTCTAGTTTGCTCTTTGCTGACTTTTCAAAAAAAGCAAAACAGTAAAAAAACAATGCTTTCCAATCAAATAACTATCCATAAATGTAGATGTTATTGGCAATTAGATTTGGCAATCTGTCTGTCAAAAGTGAGAGGCGGGGGGTTCAGAGCTTAATAACTTGTGTTGAGGTCAGTAAAATAACTCAGGATGAATCAGATTACAAGAAAATTGGTTAGTGTATTAAATTACCTTTTATCAGATTTGTATTATATTATGTTTTTAATATAAGATATGGTATTACGCTACAAGCTGGAATGCACTGATGACTACCGCCACAAGAAATTAGTTATTTACACTGTGAGGTCTGCAGAACAAACAAAAACTGATCTCATAAGTGATGAAATTCATAACTGAGGTCAATACAAATACAATTAGAACCAAACCCTGTTTGTGCATTCATGGTTTATTCTTGAATTCTAGTTTATTAATACTGCAACATCTCTATTTTCTACCACTTTTCCATAGTCAAGTCACAGAGACACCCAGACATCCCTTTTTCTAGCGACCTTCTCCAGTTCCACCTGTAAGACATTTCCAAGCCGTATAAAATACACAATCCCCCACTACAGTAACATTGCTAATACATTTTTTACTTCTACTTACATTGTTTTCCCCTCATTTATCCAAAATTTCCAGAAGAAAAAAGTTGGGATTATAAATTAAGAGATTACAGAATCAGGCTTTTTCCATTGTTGGTAAGATTTTGTTCTGGATCAGCATCTTGTTCCCTTTGAAAGAGGCAAGAAACCATAAAAGCATAGTTATGAACTAAGCAGGCTTTACACAGCAAATAAGTCAGTTTACTTTCTCAGACACCAGGCAGATCAAAGAAGGGTAATCAGAAAGTGAGCAAAAAATAAAAGTATGGCATATGATGATTAAAACAGCAAAAACAAAACATGGTTTAAAATAATATAATAAAAAAAATTTGCATTTTTGAGATAAAATAATATGGTGAACATTTGTCATCAGCTTCACAATATGATCCATAAATTACTGTATACATTTTTTTAAAATTCTTTAACATTTACATAGAAAACTAATCAACTCCGATTCCACAGAGGGATTTCCAGTTTGCCAGACAGCCTCTTTTTATGCATCCTTTATACCGTAACTAAAGAAACCCCACAGAGCCTTTCAGAGCTTAAAACTGCAACCGCAAGTTTGATTTGCCTCGAGGACAAAAATATGACAGCTCATAAGAATAAGCCTGTAAACTTGATATATTATACACAAACCCCAGTACAATTTTAATAATGTTATTTTTCTGCCTATTGTTTTAGTTATGTGTTTTCTGCAATCTCTTTGATATGATGTACAAAAAAAAAAAAAAGACAATAAAAATCCCTTTAAAAATTCAATACGGTTGATTCTAGTATTAGTGTGAAATTCCATGTAAACTGAAGGCTGATATAAATCATTTTACACAATATATTCATTGACAAAAAACATTTTGTATAAAGTTATTCTCAGGGGGGTTGGCTTTTCTGTTAAACTGTCAACCATGTACACTTATTACAATACGGTGCGGAATCATTGTTTTTCATCTGCTGGGATTTTCTGTGATGACAGAAATTCTATTTTTTTTTCTTTTGTCACATTTCCATTCCCTATAGAGTACTCACTCTTTGCTGAGAGAATTCTGCAATAAAATGATGATGCAATAAAGAATTATAATGTGCAGTAATGTCCTTGGGGCATGCTCTGAAACGCCTCAGGCTGCATTGAATACGATGCTTATGGAAAGCAGCAATTCTGAATGGCACTGTGTGAAAAAAGAGTCAGCATTATTTTAACAAGAAGGAATTTTATAACACACAACTCAGCTACGGGTCATGCAGGTCAGCTAAAATAGTAATACTGTTTTAAAATTCTGAATGCTTCTTTTTAGGCAAAGGGGCTTTTGATAAAAAAAATGTCTTTGGCTAACTTAGGTATGGTTATCTGACTTGATTCAACACCTTCATCTTCTTTTGGCTATTGAACCTTCTGAAATAAATAAATAGTAAATTATAACCAGTGTGCAACAAAGAGAAACCTACTTTTTGTGGCATTTTGTATTTTTCTTGCATTATAAAAAAATGCACATTTATTTAATTTTAATTTATTTTATAGCATTTTTAGATCATTCTTGTTTTCTGTGTGTTGTGTAACAATTTGAGAGTTTTTTTTATACTGCAGTTGAATTTGCTACAGCAAACAAGAAAATTTGATTATTGATTGAAAAAGTCTTTAAAACAACAAATTAACTAAAGTTAAGTCAAATATCTCATTTTAATGCATGTTGCCAGTTAGGATTATTTTTAGATTTTAGCAATAACCAAAATTTTGATGGTACACATTAGTGTATTATTTTACACGTATGAAGATGTGCAAAAATTAATGTTTTTATAGCCAACCATCCATCCATTGATTTGTTACATTTCCTTTCCTATCTGTGGTCAGATTGTGGAGGCAGCAAGTTCAAACATCCCTCTCCTCAACAGCACTTCTCTTCTTGGGTCATCTTATCATGTTCCCAGTAAAGAGACGATAAATAGTCCTTGCAGTTGGTTCTGGATATTTCTTGGTGTCTCCTCACGTTGAGCTGTGTCTGGAATACCAGAAGTTCCAGCATTTCAATCAGGAGGGTTCATGTTCTTTTGGTTGTGATCCATACCTTGTGACCATAAACATAGACCAGTAAATTGAAAGCTTTGTCTTTCAGTTCAGCTCTTCTTCCCCACTACAGATTGGAGCAATGACCCTTTTACTGCAGACAGGACCCTAATCTATTGATCCATCCTCTGCTCCATCTTGTCAGAACAAATCTCCTAGACTCAAGACCTCAATGCTAGAATAAAAGTCTCACCCTTGAACCAGCGTAGCATTACACCTTTTTGTGGCAGAGGACCAAGGACTTTGAGTTATTCTCATCCTATCCAGTTCACTCTCAGCTGTGAACTATACCAGTGCATGCTAAAGGTCATGGCCTGAGAATGCCAATAAAACCACCTCATTAGCAAAAAGCAGAGAGGAGAGCCCAAGCTTTTCAAATCAGACACCCTCCTCAATACATCTGTGCCTTGAGATCATGTCCATGTACACCACAAACAGGATTAGAGACAAGTGACAGCCTGGTGGTGTTCTACCTTCAGTGAGTACAAGCATGGTTTTATACAGTAAGTGTGAACAAAGCTCTCAGTTTTGTTTTATAGAAACCAGGTAGGCATTAGCAGCAGCCCCTCACGCTGCTTCGCTTGAATCTGTGGTGCAACAATAAGTCAGAGACTCACTGACTGGAGTAAACCTTCAAGAGCTTTTCAGTTGCAAATAATCTTGCTTCAGTTTTGAAACACAGTAAGACGTACTTAAAAAGCTGGGCAGCTGTGACTTAGTGGTTAGAGCAGTTGTCCTCCAATGGGAGAGTTGGGGGTTCAATTCCACCAGCAGTCACATGCTGAAGTGGCCCTGCAGACAATGAACCCCTCATTGCCTCCGATGTGTGTCCCATCAGTGTATGAATGTGACCTAAAGCACTGATTAGTCTTTTTAAAGACATAAAAGGGTGCTGTATGAATGGGTAAATGAGGGTAGTGTACAGCACTTCTTGATAAGATAGAAAGGTGCTATATGTAAGTACAGTCCATTTACCATTCAGTTTTTATTTATACAGGTTTGTCTCATTGAGTCAGGAGGACTCATTTTCAAGAGAGACCTGTTTTAGACAAAACCACAAATAAGGTACACACAACATCAAACATCCATAAAATGCATATAAAATAAAAAGTAAATAAAAGTTGTGATAAAAAAATAAATAAAATAAAGCTACATTTCTTTTACCATTAAAAGTTATGATTGCCATAATAAAAGGCTGGCATAACAATAACTTTATTTTAGAACTTTTGTATTGTTTTCGTGAAATAAGCTTTTATACATTACTCTTGAAACTTTATTACCGACTGTATTTCTTAGATGTTTTTCAGCAATAAATACAGTGTAATTTGTATTATACATTATTATTAGATATTCTGCTCAGTAAGTACTTGTGGAAGGATGTTTTCCAAAAATGAAAATCACTTATTGGTTCAAGTTATGCATCAAAAAGCTGCCTTAAAAAAAAAAAAAAAAAAAAAAGTTTACATTTTTATATGTGTTGTTATACAACACAAGTTATTTTACCCGCTGAAGGACAAGAAAAAAAAAAATGACTCATTTTGTATTTGATCCAGCTCAAGTTTAATATTCCAGAAAGTTTTTCCCTGATGCAAATATTGAAGCATTCCATGAGTACATTTTACACTTTGAGATGGGAAAACATATTTTAAAGCAATCCTTTTATTCTAAACTGTATTTTTCTGGGATGTTTGATAAAAGCATTCACACCTAGGCCTGTCGAAATAAGCAATAAACCAATTAATTGCATGATAAATGAAAATGATCAACCTCATTTTCATTTATCGGCTTTATCGTTTCTTCGTGTCTCTCTCTTTCTACTGAAGACACTGGATAAAGCTCAATTCCGGTGCTCTTCACTGACCCCTCCCTTTCTTTTTTCTCTTTAAAATCTGTTTTAACGATCCAAAATCACGATTTTGGATCGTTAAAAGCACCTAAACTGAGAAGCTAAGGTACGAGCTAAGCTAACAGGCCCACCTCGGGAAAAAAAACTCTGTCTCGTTGAAGCTCCAAAATTCACGGTTGAAACCCGTGCCTTCATGTAAAAAGTTTTTCTCTGCAAAAAGAAGCTGAGAACTTGTTTACTGATTTTTTTAATTAAAAGCTTTGTGTGAAAAATGCAATGCTAAAGAGCTCAAACCACACTGAGCGTCCACCAATTTGAGAAGCGAAGAAAGACAGCCCATGTCACGTCAAAGGACCTCCCTTCCATTTTTCTCAAAGAGACACGCTGCTCGCTCCCTCACTATCCATCCTTAAGTTCAAACTGTCTTATACTGCCATCCAGTGGCCAAAAAGGTACTACATGCAAAACAAATTAACAAACTTCTTACATTTGACAATAATTACTAATTATTGTCAAATTTCAAACAATATTATCGTTTATCACAATTATTTCTGAGACAAGTAATCGCCCAGAAAATTGTGTTATTGTGACAGGCCTATTCACACCAGAAGCTGAAAGAATAACAACAACAAATGTGATCTCCAAATAAAATACAAAATGGTATCTCAGCCATCTAAATAAAAATAACCTACTTCACGGTTTTTGTTTCAACTGTTTGTTTTAAATATTTTAAATAATGTCATGTTTTGTTCTCTGAGAAACTCAAAACAAAATAATGCATTGTAGATGAATGTTCTATCCTAAACGATAATTCAATATATCATAAAAATTTCATCCTGCAGTATTTTTAAATTGAATGTCAGATGGCCACTAATGTAGCTGCCGAAGCATTTTATTTTATTTCTATGTCACATAAGTATACTGTTATCTTTGTATTAATCAGGCGAGTAAGTCAGAGCGGTGTCTACTGAGATGGACTTAGCAGTGCATTATTAAAAAGCAAAAAGTAAATTATTTGAACTGATGAGACAGGGTTTTGAGGGTTAGGTGATAAGAGCTTTGAAATTAAACTTGGACCTGGGATGTGAGATTTTTTCAAAAGAAGATAAAACACCAGCTATCATATGACACAGCAATTGCTTATTGGGGAGGTAGTTCAAAAACAAAGATCACCCGCAATGTTATCTCGTCACTCCACCAGCACATCAATCAGGACTCAGGCTGCTGGAGATCGACCTTTTTTTGCCGGAATCAATGTTCTCTCCCATTCTCAATGGTAAAGCAGATATGGCCAGAGATACAACACAGGGGAGTCCTGCAAAATCCAGCAATACAAGTTCTAAAAGGGGTTAGCTATTAACTCACTGACCTTCACTGCTTGTCTCCTTTCTCCTTTGCCCAACATTGTCAATCTTAAGAGGTCTGACAGAAAATGTTCAAGAGAACCTGTTTTGTGCTTTGTTTATTAGCTAATGGAAAATAATTTAACTATTGTTCAATATCATATTTAAAGATTATCTGATATTTCATGAGAAGAGCTGCAAGAAATATTTCCATTTTTTTTTCTTTTTTAAATTTGATTGCACATTATATGCTTTTTAACACACATGCTACTTAATTTAGTGAATAAAGTCAAAGTGTTACTTTTTTCATGTAAAAGATGAAACATTACATTTGAACAAAAAAAGTAATTGCATACTGAAAAAGGGCAAAAAGTGAGTGCTCATTTAAAAGATCAATATGTCGTTTATGTTTTTTTTTCCTAATTAGTGACCTACTTATTTACTACTTATATATCGATCAAAAAATGTTTTAAGCAATACGTTATAATTGTCATAGTGGCAGTAAATGAAGCTCAAGTCTGAGAAAATGTGCATTACCATAGCGTTGCAATTGTTTGCGTTCAAACTACAACTCCCAGAATTCCATCGTTCGGTCTCGCGCTTTTCTTTTCCTGTTTAAGTCCGGCAGCTGGAAAAATGGCAGCTGATTCAGGGAAATACAGGAGTGCTGTTAGCAAAAACAAAGACCCCTCAGGTCTTCTCATCTCTGTCATTAGGTAAGATTGTTTTACGTTCATTTTATGAGGCTACCAGCGCAGTTAAGACGTTACAGTGTTTTTAATTGTGCTTGCATTTGCCCTCAGGCTCGAATTGACAGTTAGCATAGAGCTACAGGAGGTAGCTACATCCTTCCTGTCCTGTGTTGTAATTTGTATGAAAGACATAAACGCTTACACGTTTGCGGTTGTCGTAGATATGTTATTAAACAACTGTAAAGTTAATCCTTAATTTTCGCTTGAGAATAAAGTAAATAAAAAAATCAGCAAAACTTAACGGTAATATTAATCGTCTTATTATTTCAGACTGGTGTTTTTTTTTAGCAGCTGTTTCAACAAGTGCTTATTTAAGATAAATCAAAATTTCCCAACGTTTCACACCTTTTGTGTATCTTAAAATCCCTTTCAAGATTTCTGTAATGTCCTCAGTTTGTCACATTAAATTATTAATACCTTTTTGTTTATTGTGTCTGCATCACTTTCTGTTACATATAAATACTGTATGTACAATAATGCATTTAATTTTATATCCGAATATTTTCTACAGCGCTCTTGTGACTTGTGTTTTTATTGAGCCCATCTCTTTTAATTTCTGTCCTGATGCAGGACTCTGTCCAGCAGTGATGATGTGCAGGACAGAGAGACCGAGAAGGGTCGCCTTGAAGAGGCCTTTGAGACATGCGATCGGGATTTGGATAAACTTATTGTTCAGCATTATGCTGAACTTACCACTGCCATCCGAACCTACCAGAGCATCACAGAGCGCATCACTTGCTCTCGCAACAAGATCAAACAGGTATGAATATATTTGGGTATCTTGGTCGACTCACATCTTTCTTTTAAGCTCCATGTGGAAAACTTGGTAAAGAAACTGAAAATTAAACTGGGTTTCTTTTTCAGAAACAGATCCTGTCTAACCCTGAATGCTAGAAAACGCCTTGTTTCTGTGACTTTCCTTCCCTCAATTGATTTTGGTGATATTATTTACATGAACGCTCCTACAAGAACCCTGCAGATGTTGGATGCTGTCTATCATGGTGCACTAAGATTCATAACTGGCTGTGATTATCGTACCCACCACTGCACCCTGTATTCACTGGTTAACTGGACATCATTAACTTCACGCAGACTCTCTCACTGGTACATTTTCATCTTTAAATCACTTCTTGGTCTGCTGCCTTCATACATCTCCTCCTACATGTCTCTGCGTGAGTGCAGCTACGGAGTGCGCTCTCAGGACATTATTACCTGCAGTGTTCCCTCAGTGAGGACTGAACTAGGCAAAAGGGCCTTCTCCTACTCCGCTCCTGTTTCCTGGAATATCTTACAAAAAGATTTGAAGCTCTCGACCTTGACCTCTCTAAGTGGCTTTAAGAATCTGTTGGACTCCTGGCAGGGTCCAATGCTGACATGTTCCTGTTTTTAGTTTTATACATTTGTCTTGGAATCTAGCTGTTTTTTTGGTTTTGTTACCTTTTTCCTTTTAGCCATCCTATTTGTTAAAAAAAAAAAAAAAAAAAAAAAAAACTGTAGTATGAGTTTTTATAATTGCTTATTGTTGTTGCTGTTGTCCATTGTTGTCATCTTTCTTTGTTGAAATCAGGTCTCTCTTGTAAATGAGTCCTCGAGGCTCAATGGGATTTACCTGTATAAATAAAGGTTGATTGATGAAATGGAGACATGTCTGAAAATGGATACAAACCTATATTAAATTTATCTAGAAAATATATCTGGTAGAGCTGCTGCCTCTCAGTGAGAAGGTCGTAAGAACGAATCCTGGCCAGGGGCCTTTTTGAATGGAGATTGCATGTTCTCGCTGTGCATGCCTGGATTTTCTCCGGGTGTTCCCGTTTCCTCCAACAGACCAAAAACATGCATGTTAGACTGATTGGTAAATCTAAATTGTCCATAGGTGTGAATTGGAGTGTGAATGTTGTTTATCTTATTTGTCTCTATGTGACTGTTTGTCTGATCGATAGAGGGATAAAGCCCATAGCAATTTATTGTTTTAGATTTGTTTCAGAGCAACAACTACATAATTTGTGATTGAAGCAAAATTTTGTATGCATTCACTTTTGTTTTTACATGATGTAGAAATGCTTCCTATGTTAGCGTTTGTGCTTTTTTCACCACCATAGCAAAGTTATATTCTGGCCAAATTGTGCTGAATGCTCTGTCTCCAAATGTTAGGGATTATCGTTGTTGTTGTTGTTGTTGTTGTTGTTGTTGTTGTTGTTGTTGTTGTTTTGTGCTTGTTTTTCTTCAACATTACTAGTGACATAAAAATGTTCATATAACACAAAAATCTAATTAGTTGGTTTCAATAAAACAAGGCAGTAATAAGGCAAACAGACATATGCATTAAACTTAAATTTATTATTTTAAATATTGAAGTTTGTTGTCTTCAATATTTTATTATTAACTCCCAGTTTTGCTGTGTTTCAATCTCAAGTTTTTATACTTTTATTGAAAACTTGCATACATGTACAATACTATCGGTCCATCCATCCATCCATTATCTTTACCTGCTTCTTCCTTTCTGGATCGTGGGGGTCACTCTTCCCCATATCCAGCAGTCACATGTGCAAGAGGCAGGGTACACCCTGCACAGGTCACAAGTCCATCACAGAACTAGTATTTACACTTTTGATTTTAAAGCACAAGAACTGACAAATTTGTATCAATAGTGTCTCAAAGATTTAAAGGTGGTGGAATTATACCTTTTTCCCGTTTATGCTATCTGCAATATTTAAGGTTCCTAAACTGTTATGTTTTACTTTATTGTAGGTGCTTTATAGGTCCATTTTAATAGACGATAGGATTTTAAAATATTTTCATCAAAGAATAATGTTACTTAATATTTGTGCTGTTCTGCTCTGCAGGTGAAGGAGAACCTCTTGTCTTGTAAAATGCTGCTCCATTGTAAGAGGGACGAGCTGAGGAAGCTGTGGATTGAGGGCATTGAACATAAGCATGTCCTCCAGCTGCTGGATGAAATTGAAAGTATCAAGCAGGTTCCTCAGCGCCTGGATGCCTACATGGCAAGCAAGCACTACCTTCATGCCACTGACATGTTGGTGAGTACTCCGATGAAAGCATGGATCTTTAGGCACTTTCAATGTCCTTTTTCTGCATGGGGAATATGAGAATTAAAGAAGAAAATATTTTACTTGCTTTGGATGTTACAAGAAAACATGTTGCTATATCAAGAACTGATGGGCTTCCATCAGCGACATGGTGTGCACATTTGCACATGCTTGAACATAAGTATTTGCAGTGAGTTGTAAAAAAAAATTTCCTTGCTTTTTTAAATTGTTTAAATAACTCTTTTCTATGCTTGACTTGCCCATAGGGCGCAACTCACATCATCTAAGTGCAGTAAAGGAACTGTAGGTGTGTGTGTGTGTGTGCTCTTGCTCTTTAGATGCATGTTTTATCCTTAGCAGGTGAATGATGGTACTGAAGACTAAAGGACCATCCTCTATGATCTGTCTGCTTCTTTCCTTTTCCTCTTTCTCATCCAATGTCACTCCCACACATCTTCCTGTAGACTCCGGTAATAATTAGTTTGCTAGAATGGGGTTATCTGAGGAGGGAAAAAAAAAGACAGAGATGACGGTGAGACTAAAAGACCATAAAAAATTCTCTTTGCGGGGGTGGAAAGAAAAAGGAACTTCATTCAGTAAAGTGTTTCAAAGGTTATAAGAAGTTCAAAGTCAGATGAGTGCATTGTCTTAGTTTAATAAACTTCAAATGCATTTTACTTTATGAGGTTGTTACCATTTTACAAACATGTAGAATGCACTTTTTAACATTTGAGTTATGACCAAAACTAGTGCTCTAAAAAATCTGAAGACCTTCAGATCCACCCTCTTGATGTAGATCTTTATGAATTTGAGATGTTTTTAGGATTCTTATTTAAAAAAATAAATAAATAATTGTTTCGCCTAAGTTCCACAGAACTCTGAATCATTGCACCAACGTCTTTCATAATTTTATATTTTCAGAGGTCTGATTTGCTTTTTTAGCATTCTTTTCAAGAAGAAGTAGTTTTCTTTCATTTAAACTTTGGACTGCCATTTCTATCATTTTTGCTTACATACTTGTATTATTTTGCCCCAGTAGCCATGTATAAACATTCTAGCCTTCTCTTTAACAATGTGCACGTTTTTTGTGAAGCTTATCTCTAGGACTTTACAATTAAAATTCAAATTGGGCTCTCTGTATTAAAATGATTAGCAGCATTAGATCCCATGGGTTCGGTTAAAACATGATTGACTTATGTTATAGAAAATTTTCTTTTATAATCTTCTCATAAACTTGTTCCTTTTGTTTCCCAAAATCCAGGTGTTCAAACTGATACCTGTCTCAAAGCAAATAACTCATTGATGAGCTTCTCTTCTCTTCTCTTCTCTTCTCTTCTCTTCTCTTCTCTTCTCT